GCACCAATTCACAGGCTCAAAAAACCTTCATTGTCATAGAACTATAGCGTATACAATGCATTTTCCCATAATAAAACATCTTGCTGAAAATTTTTTTCTAATTATTGTACAGCCCCTTTAATTTGGAGCTAGAATTTCAGAGTGATTTCATGTGTTGCCCAAGGTCACACAGCTTGGAAGTGGCAAAGCTGTGACTCAAACCCTTGTTTCTAAATCCAGCCGATGTGCATCCTCTGTACCACTGTAGCCAATGATACAGAAATGCATTTGGACTTCAAGATCACGGAAACTTAAATTTGATGCCTGATTTCAAATGGAAAGAGGATCCCCTCCCCCATGTTTAACTTGGAAATTCTGAGGCCCACATATGTCAAATGATGTTTTTGGATGCAGGCCCGTTTGCACTGACATGTCAGCCTTGCTCAGCTTGAAGTTTCATTCAGAGCAAATGTAAAATTACTCCCCAGTGTAAATTAATTCAGAAAGTACCCATTTCTCAGCCTTCCTGCCTGGCACTTGCCAAGCCCCTGTTATGTTCCGGTGTGACCGGAAGCCCCTCTTGGGTTCTAGTCCTCTTCCTCTCTCACGTCCTCAAGAACGTGCCAGCAGTTCTCCCATCTGCCTCCTACAGCACAATTCTCCCTCTCTCCTTGGTCATTTCTACTAGTATACATATATGCTATAATTTTCCCATGATAATAGAGGCAGTCTCTCTTGAGTCCACATCTCGTTACAGGTATTATTCCTTATACGTTCCTAGTTATAATAAAATTCTCTTGGTTCCATGCTTTCTGCATTATTCCTCCTCCCATTTCTCTTGAATGTGCTCCCAAACAGCTTTCATCCCCACCAATAACTCTCGGTCAATTCCGTCTTACTTTCACCCCATAGATGTGTTGGAGCACTCTAGATGTCCCAGTCCTGAAGTATCCCATAATTGACCTTGTGTCCCCAGTGAGACCAGGGCTCTTTGCCATGGAGTTGATCCCGACTTCGGCTCTCTTCGGGACCAGGAATGTGTCTTTGCTTTTCTCCTGTGCCTCTCTAGATGGCTGCACACACTACAAACCAAAGCAGACCAGCAAACGAGTTGTCATAGACTTGATTTGAACTCGCGGTGGCAACGTCCCTGGTAGAGGAAAACCGTGCTCCCCAGGCTTTGCATGGCTGTGACCCTGGGGGCCTGTTGCCAGAACCTATCTTACTTGCTGCTCATTTCCTTCCATTCCAGAACTGTACTTCTGAGTATTCTCAGCCTGGCTACAGAAGGAACTCCTCGGCTGTTGCACTGGAGTCTTTGTCTTTGGGAAAAGGAATTGACCTAAAGGTCCTACTTTAAAAAATAATCCTGTGGCTTGAACTGAACTTGGGACCTCCCTGTTAACAGGATTTTTTCGAATGGAGATGTGCTATGGATTTTAGCTCTATGGCATAACTATTCTGATATTCATCTTCATCATCTCTGTACTGGCATAATTATAGCAAATATACCTAGCAGCATAGCCTCGATTCAATCCCTGCTCCGCCAATTTACAAGAGATTTGATCCAGGAGATATTTATGAATATTTTCATGCCTCAGATTCACCATTTTTAAAAGGAAGAGGAGGATGGTGATGCTTACCTCATAGGGTTGTACAATGATTCTATGAGTTGATTTATGTAAAATGTTTAGAATAGAGCCTAACACATAAGAAGGTGTGTTAGTCCAGGTAGACTAGAGAAACAAACCCAGGGAGACTCGTGTGTATAAGAAAGAGCTTTATATACAAGAGCAATTGAATATTGAGAAAACATCCCAGCCCAGTCCAGATCAAGTCCATAAGTCCGATATGTCTGATACAAATCTATAAATTTCTCTTCAGACTCACACAACACATGCAATGATGCCAAATGCAGGAAGGTCATAGACCAGTAGGTGGAAAGTCTTGTGGATCCAGTGGCAGTGGAAGCACCTCAGTGCTGGCAAGGGATCTCCACATGGCTCTGACTCCAGGGCTCCATGTGTCTTGTCAGAAGGAATGTCTCACAGGGAATGAGTGTATGTTCCGCCTCCAGCGAGCTATTTATCTCTTTAGCGCCTCCAAATGAGGTCATCAAGGTGCGACATGATTGACAGGCTAAACTCCACCCCCCCTTCACTCTTAAGTCTCAAATTGACAAATTATACAACTGCCACAGAAGGTATATATTAGAATTAACTATTGTTATTCTCATAGAAATTTTGATTAAAAAAATGAATGCAAAGCATGCTTATTAGTAAGTGTCATTTATGTTAGTTTCTATTTTCTCATGACGGACAAGCAAGTACTAATACACATTTTTAAAATTCTCAGAATAGAAGAGAAAAAGAAACACCCTTAGCCCCACAAATGAATTTGTCTATAATGAATAAGACCTCAAGTTGCAAAGCATTATACATTCTTACTAATATACAGAGTTGAGAAGGAAGTATTCATGGCTGCTTTTGAGATTTGTGGGGAATGAGCCAATGTTCCTTCTGGGACAGTTTCTTTAGCTCATAAAAAAGCCTCTTCAGGCGCCGTTGTCACGGAGGTGCAGACTGATCCAGTCCATGAAGGCGTGGATGCTTGTGTATAGACCTGGGTGGTGAATCTGTCCACAGTTCATACCCTGGCTGGTTATTCCAAAGATGACATCGTGCCCAGAATCTTCCAGAAAGCAGACCAAAGGGCTTCCAGCATCATCCTAAAGGAATATATGAGATCTGAGCTAAGCAGTAGGAATAGGTGATTACTATGGTATGCATACAAGCTCTCCTGAAATGCTCAGATTACTGAGCATGAAGTTGGGGAAAAGGCCCAATGGTGATGACCTGGAATAGAGAGGAAGTTCTGGGAAAGGGCAAGAGAGCATTTTTCCTGGGATACTGGGGTGTTTTGCACTAAAAGCGGATGATTGTGCCACAGCCCTGTCATCTTTAACTGGCAAAAAAGAACCCCAAACCAAACCAAACCCATTGCCACTGAGTCAATTCCGACTCACAGCAACCTCTATCGGGTTTCCAAAGCTGGAACTCTTTCTAGGAGCAGACAGCCTAGAAGGGGTTGGAACCACCGACCTCTGGCTAGCAGTCCGATGCTTACTCAACAGTGTCACCGGGGCTCCTAAACTGGCAAGGGCCCCTGATAATAAATAAGGATTTGTGGACCACCAGCCTCAATAGATAAGCTGCAGATTTAATCTTGTGATATATTTTGTTTGCTGGTTTAACATAGATGTATGTTAATAATTTGCATGGAAACAGTTGAGGAGACTCACTGACTACAATCCATTTCTGCCAACATGATACGCTAGTTCTTACAGAAGCCACCCACTGACCTGTTGTACCTAGGTCAACACAAATAGTGACTCAATGCTGGAGTCAGGGAAAAAGGAAGCCAAAGTACTGCAAAGATGAAAGGAGGACTCGTTTGCTTACTTCCTAACTGACAGTAGAAAATGTCTAGAAATTCATGCAGTTTCTTTTAAAAGCTCTGTTACATTCCCAAAACAAGGTTCTTAAAAATGCCTGCAGTGGAAAAAAAAAAGCCTGTAGTGGAAACCTGGCAATACTGACAAGTAGCTTCCCCCAGTATGGCAGCAGATACTCAAGAGTACCCCCAGCATGGCAGCAGATACTGAAGAGTACCCCCAGTATGGCAGCAGATACT